CAACCACCTCTGTTCTATTTCTATTTTGCATCACAAGGCAAGGGAAACGAAATTCCAAGTTTGGCTTCCAAAACGAGATTGGTGTCCACTAATGTCACTCAGGAACTTTTTAAAAAATATATATTTTATCGCTTATGCCATTACAGTTGTTCTATATCCTCCCCTCCACCCTACATACCCCCTCCCCCACTGTTCCCCCTTTAGTTTATGACCACGTGTCTCAAGTTCTTTAGATTCTATATTTCCCATACTATTCTTGCCCTCCCCCCTATCTATTTTCTACCTACCATCTATGCTACTTATTTTCTGTACCTTCTCCCCCCTTCTCCTTCTCCCACTCCCCTGTTGCTAACCCTCCATGAGATCTTCATTTCTATGGTTCCACTCCTGATCTAGCTGTCCTTTTAGATTGCTTTTGTTTTAGGTGTGGTTGTTAATAACTGTGAGTTTGCTGTCCTTTCACTATTCATCTTTTTTATCTTCTTTTTCTTAGATAAGTCCCTTTAACATTTCATAGAATAAGGGCTTGGTGATGATGAACTCCTTGAATTTGATCTTATCTGAGAAGCACTTTCTCTGCCCTTCCATTCTAAATGAAAGTTTTGATGGATAGAGCAATCTGGGATGTAGGTCTTTGGATTTCATGACTTGGAATACTTCTTTCCAGCTCCTTCTTGCCTGTAAGGTCTCTTTTGAGAAATCCGCTGACAGTCTGATGGGAACTCCTTTGTAGGTGACTGTCCCCTTATCTCTTGCTGCTCCTAGGATTCTCTCCTTCATTTTAATCTTGGCCAATGTAATGATGATGTGCCTTGATATGTTCCTTCTTGGGTCCAACTTCTTTGGGACTGAGCTTTCTAGATTTCCTGGAAGTCTATTTCCTTTGCCAGATTGGGGAAGTTCTCCTTTATTATTTGTTCAAATAAGGTTTCCACTTATGACTGTTCCTCTTCCCCTTCCGGTACCCCTATAATTCAGATGTTGGAGCATTTAAAGATGTCCTGGAGGTTCCTAAGCGTCTCCTCATTTTTTCTAATTCTTGTTTCTTCATCCTTTTCTGTTTGGTCGTTTTTTTCTTCCTTCTGGTCCACTCCTTTGATTTGAGTCCCAGTTTCCTTTCCATCACTATTGGTTTCCTGTGCATTTCCTTTCATTTCAATTAGTTTAGCCTTCATATGTTCCTCTAATTTGTGACTAAAATCAACCAGTTCTATGAACATCCTGATCACCAGTGTTTTGAACTGTGCATCTGAAAGTTTAGCTATTTCTTCATTGCTTAGATTTATTGGCTCTGGGCCTTTGAGTTCTTCTTGAGCCATGTTTTGATCTGTTCACACCTGTTATGTATGAGGAGGGGAGCCTTAGATGTTCACCAGGGCAGGGCCACCCAGGTCGCTGGGTTATGATGCTGTATGTGGGAGCAGGGTCAGAGAGGGACAACAGTGGTCCCCTCTGCCGCTTCCCTCCACTGGGGCCTGCGGGGTCCTTCTCACTGCGCGCTCTTTCACCGGTTTATCTGTGCGTGAATGTGTGACCATGGTCAGCTTGCCGCCTTGCGTCCTCAGTGGGTCTGCCCGCTGGTACTCCACACCTGGGATTCATCCTCGACTGCCTGCCCGCTTGGGTCCTATGCCTGGGTGGATCTTTCCTGCCCAGCCCCGCTCCACTGCTGGCTCTGCCCCTCTTACTGGTCTGGCTGAGTGGTTCGTTGTTGTCAGACTTCTGTATAGTTCAATTTTCTGTGGTTTGGCTGCGTTTTTGTTGCTAAAACTTTGTTGTTTTTAAACTTGGTTGTGCCAAGAACTAAACTTTATATCATTCTTTGGTGTCCATAAAAGTCATGAGTGAAAACTATAGTGTTTAGTTTTGATATTTAGGTATGAAAGAAAATATTTTAAGAATATATTTCATAAAGCCTAATTTTGAAGCTATTTTTCTTCAATTGTGGAGATCTTTATCTTTTACCTCTGAATGTATTCCTCTGAAATTTTTTAAAGCTAAATTTACTTTGTTGGGAAAGAAAAGACTTCATGATCCATGGGGTAAGTGAAAAAGCCACATACAATCCTGAAATCCCCTCCACCTTCTATTTTTGACCGCCGTTCTCACCAAATTTTCACCAGGAGTACAGAAGACTGTCTACCACATTTCTTTCCCCTTGAGAAATTGATTTCCTCTTTGTGAATGCAGTAAAATAGTTGAAAGGACAGGAAGCAGGGAAGCAGGAAATCCACACTTGGACTTGTCCTACCCAGAGTCGGGGTCTGTGATTGTACAGGCCATCGATCCTCACACGTGGCAAGCTGAGACACACTAAACCCTAAACACAGCAATGCATCTGCAGAGACTTGAAAAGGGTGAGAAAGTCATTGCTTTTCTACAAAAGAGTGTCCAAGTGGATCTTTCTGAGGCGCCCTGGTTTTGCGAGCACTGCCTTTAGCCTTGGGTCTATTTATTTCATTGCGTGTGTGTCCCTATGATTTGGAAATGTGATTAGAGTTTCCAGTGAGAGATGAATTGGCTCAGGCAATGAGGCTTTGGTTTCAGGGAGGAAAATATAATTTTCAATCCAGATAGAACATATATTTTATATTCTGTATATTAGAAATAGAACTGCAGAAAGAAAGAGGGAACAGGAGGTGGGAGAGGAGAATGTAAGGGAGGAAAAGAGGAAGGAACCAACTCAGGAACAACTTCACCACTGTATTAAATGTGTATTTTTAGGGCTTTAAATTTCACTTAAAAGCACATCTATTGATTGAATGTTCCTTTAATTTGTCTATGCATTTGATTCAATATTCAGTAAACACTGAAGGGCTGTGATCCCCAGGCACCCTACTGGGCGTTGGATCTATAACGATAAACAAGCCCCACTGGGTTCTGACAAGCTGGAGATCACATTTAATGGGATACATGGAGTACAGACAAAAGTGCACAATAACATCAAAATGTATGTGGGTAAAGGCACTATGAAGAAAACTAAGTAAGTGTTTTGAGTGGGAATGAAAGTGTTTTTCAATTTACTTAATTTCAGAAAATAGGGAAGAGCTTATTTTGAAAAAAAAAAGTATTATATTGCAAAAAGATGAGCTATGACCAGAAATAGAGCTAGAATATACAAAGTTCAAATATTGTTCTGAAAACCTTCATAAATCGTTTTTTATCGATCGTTCAGACAGATTAGGACCTGCATTAGTATCTCACATATATTTAAAATGGTAGTCATGTAACGGCTGAAGCAGGGGTGTCCAACCTTTTGGCATCTCTGGGCCACACATTAAACACACAAACACTAGTGGAAACTGATGAGCACAAAAAAAAATGTTTTAAGTGAATTTAGGCTTTTGTGTTGGGCTGCGTGGGGTCCGCAGGCTGCAGGTTGGACACCCCTGGCTGCTGAAGGACTGAGGATGATACTGAGAACCTTTTTCAGAGAATCTCACATGCACCGCATGAGGAACGCTGGAAAGGCTCAGAGCAGCAAACACAGATGCCTAATCATAGCTCTCAGCACGCTATAGGAGGTATCAGTACTCCCGGGTTCTACATGAGAGCAAGTGGGTAATGGGGCCTGTTCCCCCTTTCCACACTCAGACAGCTAGAATGAGAAAACATCACAGTAAAAAAGAAAGGGTTATCTGAATCCCCAGCCACAGACTTCTCCTATCTCAATGAGATTGGGAGCACACCAAAAGAGAATAAATAATGCGGAGAAACAGGAAAATAAGATCTTAAATTCACATCACGATTAGCCTGATTTCAGGGAAGAAATAAGAAAAAAACATGTTAATGATTCAAATCAAACCCATTAAACTAACACACTTAACTCTTATTAAAAGAACTTGTTGGTTTTAACGAGACATTTTCAACAATTTTCCTGAACAGCCTATAAGTGTAAGATCGAACATGTTTTAATAATATTTTTCCTCTCAGTAGGCACTTGTCCTTTCAATGTTGATAAAACCCTAGGATTTAAATCCAGTGATTGACAATTTCAAGTTGTTTATTTTTCTTCCATTTTTTATTTTATTTCCTATTCAGGGCTTCCTGTGACAGGAACGCTCCATGAAGCTAAGGGTGAATGAATGGACAGTCATTATTTATAGGCACTAATTCTCCCCTAGACAGTTTATGATAAAAGCTACTGCTATTTCCTGTTGCTGGAAAACTCTATTGACAACCAGTTTCCGAGTATACCAGTGAGATGACATGAGGAGGAATTATCTATAGCAAATCTTGTGCAGTGAGGAAGGAAAAATATATATTGTACAGGATCTGGCAAAAATAACACCTTTTTTATTACAAAATGTTTGATGACAAAATCATAAGCATGTAATTCTGTCACATAACAATATCACACTGAAACACACCACATGCCATTTTAGGTGAATTGTTCAAATTAAAAGTATAAATTATTATGCCTGTATTATTAATTCTACCAACCACACTCAAGTGTTACTCTTGCCAGACCCTGTATAAATATATACAGTCTGTGTATGTTGCACAAATATATATTTCTGTTTTTCAACGATGAACTATATGGATCTTTTAGTTCAGTTCAATCACTGCCCTGAGAGGACCTGAAGAAATGACAGGGAGACTTGAAGAGCTAAGTGTCACTCTGCTGTACCCCCCGCCCCCACCGCGTGTCTGTATTCACAGAGATCCTTCTGTTTTGTGTTTCTAGAACCTCCACCTACTGGCTCACTCGCATCCAGTCTTTCCTCTACTGCAATGAGAATGGTCTCCTGGGCAGCTTCTCGGAAGAGACGCACTCCTGCGCCTGCCCCAACGACCAGGTGGCGTGCACGACGGCCCTGCCCTGCACGGTGGGCGACGCCTTGGCCTGCCTCACCTGCGCGCAGGACAACCGCACCCGCTGCGGCACCTGCAACACGGGCTACATGCTGAGCCAGGGCCTCTGCAAGCCGGAGGTGGCCGAGTCCACGGATCACTACATCGGCTTCGAGACCGACCTGCAGGATCTAGAGATGAAATACCTGCTGCAGAAGACGGACAGGCGGATCGAAGTCCACGCCATTTTCATCAGCAACGACATGCGCCTCAACAGCTGGTTCGACCCGTCCTGGCGCAAGCGGATGCTTCTCACCTTGAAGAGTAACAAGTACAAGTCGAGCCTGGTCCACATGATCCTGGGTCTTTCTTTGCAGATCTGCCTAACGAAAAACAGCACCTTGGAGCCCGTGCTGGCCGTGTACGTGAACCCGTTCGGAGGCAGCCACTCTGAGAGCTGGTTTATGCCTGTCAACGAAAACAGCTTCCCCGACTGGGAGCGGACTAAGCTCGACCTCCCCCTCCAGTGTTATAACTGGTCCCTGACCCTGGGGAACAAGTGGAAGACCTTTTTTGAGACCGTGCACATCTACCTACGGAGCCGCATCAAGTCCAACGGCCCCAATGGCAACGAGAGCGTCTACTACGAACCTCTGGAGTTCATTGACCCTTCCCGGAACCTGGGCTACATGAAAATCAATAACATCCAAGTGTTTGGCTACAGCATGCACTTTGACCCCGAAGCGATTCGGGACCTGATCCTGCAGTTGGACTACCCCTACACTCAGGGCTCGCAGGACTCGGCGCTGTTGCAGCTCCTGGAGATCAGAGACCGTGTAAATAAGCTCTCCCCACCTGGTCAGCGTCGCCTGGATCTGTTCTCCTGCCTGCTCCGCCACAGACTCAAGCTGTCCACGAGCGAGGTGGTGAGGATCCAGTCCGCCCTGCAGGCGTTCCATGCCAAATTGCCAAACACCGTGGATTACGACACGACCAAATTATGTAGTTAACCATTCATGTCAAGCACAACCCAAAATCCTGAAGGAGTTTTTACAGTGCTTTTGTGGAACCGTTTATGTTTGAAAGAGTAAATTTAAATTGTCTTTTCAATCTCTGTCTTATATCCGTCAATAACGTTGGATGGCAATCTACACACGTGACCTTGCTGACAATGAATATATTACACTGCAGTATCGGTTTATGAATGAAATAAATACTGACACCCGTCTAGAAGACATTCTACTTTTTACAATAAATTTCATTTGTAATTTTATATGTTCCGTGGCAATGCTTTTGTGCATTACACCCTCTAGAGGGAACATAAAAAAGATACCAATAAAATTTTGTAGCTGAACAGTTATTAAAAAGAAGTGCTGTGGAATTCCTTTTTTTTTTCTTTCCATGAAATGAGTACTATTTTGATATAGCTTGTTAGCACCTCGGGGAACATTCACCGAGATTTTTTTAAATGGAAACATTTGAAGGTCCCTTTCAAGGGCTTTTCGGGACAACCCGACCCAATAAGGATGCTGCTTCGGAAGCAGTTGCATTTCTATAGCAGTAGCACATTATCATCATCTGAACTCCCAGAGCATTTCAAGAAGCACCGTCATGACTAGAATGAGCAAGTCAACTATTTTTCCCATCTAAATATCACAAGGTTTCATGAAGCATATGGAAAAAAATGTGATTACAAGCACATCGTAGAGAAAGTGAACGCTTACATTTTTAGCAACTTGCTTAGTCGTTCTTTCTACATTCTGATAACCAATAGTACACTCTACACAATTACTTCATTTCATGTACTGAAAACCTAGTTATTCCAGTATTCCTCAATGTCAATTATATAACATATTTAGAATTCACAAAAATTAAAGGGTTGATAAACAACATACTGATATAAGTAGGCTTTTTTTCCTCGTAGAGACACTACTATTACTAAAATATATTTTAAAGAGAAAACTCTTTCAATATCAAACTAATTTTAGTTTAAATTTTTGGTTTGGAATTTAAATTAAGTTCCCATATTCCCATGGTATAATATTAGGGATATCACTGGTATATTTTTCCTGTGAACATAAAATGCATTTTTATTTAGGTACATGAATGTGTCTGTCCAGTGTGGTTCTGATATTTATCTCTTGGCTCTTGTGTAGATATTTCACAAACATTTCTTACAGTTTAAACATATGCACAGTCCAGCTTGTGCATATGGAAATCTGTCCAGCCCCACTTTCCTGATGAGGACATCAGGTCATTTTTCAGGGCACAGAGAAAGGAAACCATGACATGAATGAGAAGGAAAAGACTGACAACAAAATGATTTCACAGATACTCTGGATTCTTGAGATGTTTGTTTCTGTCTCCAAGTCATTTTAACAGCAGGTAGACAGGTAGACCATTCCGACAACAAATACGTATCCAATCTACCAGAAATGAAGCACTGTTCTCCCATTGTGTGGGGTAGCTTGTAGGTAATTCCATACTAAATGTATACAATTATTAAACATCATCTTTCTGATGTTATATCAGATATCTTCATCTAATTCTAACAACCCTAGGTTGTAGATTATTACTCCTATTTTCTTGGTGAAAAACAGGTTCAGCATGATCTGTCCAATTACCAGAAATCACAAACCAAGAAGTTGAAAGACCAAGATTCCAACACAGGCAGTTCTGCAGAAGTCAGAACTGCCACCAGAACTTTTTCCAGGAAAGTCTTGGAGGCCTGGCTGTCCAGAGCCTCTGGGGCCCAGACACCAGGTGGTCAACACACGTGGCACCAATGGACACGCAACGGCAGCCATCCCCTGGCACGTGAGGAAATTGTCAGCAATGCTCTCAGCCTGCTCTACCCAACCCTACGCACACAGGTAAGGAAGTACCTAACTAGGGTTTTACCCAGCGATGTCCTGGCAGGTGTTGGCAACAGAAGTCCCATTGGCCAGGATCAAATTGTCTTAGTTTCAGCTGTCAGCGTGAACTTTCTATCTGCTCTTGCTTCCCCAACAGTAGAGAAGGAATAGCAATGCTTCTCTCTGCGTGTTGTGTCTCAGGTACCATGAATGGTACCTGAGCAAACGTACCACACAAATTCTCTAGTGCTACACAGATTGAAAGGGGAAATTACCAACACGTATTTTCACATTTCTGTTTCTCGCATATTACCAGGTGTTACCTAGGTAATAGACAAAATAATCTAGCTTATACAACATAAGATTGCTTATATATAGGGGGAAACACATGTCACTTTCACTAAATTGGGCTTATATGCAAACATTTTTGCTCACTATTGCTTTAGACATTTGATAATGCTTAATAAAAACAACTTTACTGTCAAAATCTTATTTAGAGCCAAAGGTTGAAAGATGTATATGTAAAACCATATTTTAAAAGACCGGGCATTTAGTTTCTTTTTTTGATATTCCTAATTTAGATATCTAAATTAGGAATTAATTGAATTCAGTAAATTCAGTGAAACCTGAAATTCTGAAAGTCAAAAATATATTGAGAATACATTTTCTCCAAGAACATCTCCTTGCTGCTCCAGCCATTCTGGTAACTAGCACACTTTGACTTGGCTTGCTATGGCTGGAAGCTCAAGTAGAATTTTAGCAAGTTAAAACAGGATTCAAGAGATCGATGTCAGCTCAAGAGAAAATGTCAAAATAGCTGGTGATCTTAACAAAATAGTTGTCAATCACAGTGTGCATTAATATTATTTTGTTAGGTGTACCACATAGTGGTTACACAATCATATACTAGTGGTTACACAATCATATACTTTACACTGTGATCCCCCCTGATATTTGCAGTACCCACCGGCACCACACATAGTTATCACATTATTATTATTGATATTCCTATGCTGTACTTTACATCCCAGTGACTATTCTGTAACTGCCTGTTAGTACTTCTTAATCCCTTCACTTTTTTCAGCTGGCTCCTCACCCTCTCCCCTCTGGCAACCGTCAGTCTATTCTTAGTATCTATGAGTCTGTTCCTATTTTGTTGTTGTTCATTTATCTTACTCTTTCATTTCCACATGTAAGTGAAATCATATAGTATTTGTCTTTCTCAATCTGACTTACTTCACTGAGGATAATACTGTGGTAGGTCCATTCATGTTGTTGCAAATAGCAAGCTTTCTTTTTTATGGCCAAGTAATATTCCATTGAGTAAATGTACGACAGCTTTTTATCCACTTGTCTACTGATGAGCCCTTGTGCTGCTTCTATATCTTGGCTGCCATAAATAATGCTGCAATGAACATAGGGGTGAGTATATGTTTCAAATTAGTGTTTTGGGTTTCTTTGGATATACGTATAGAAGTGTTATCACTGGGCAGTTTCATTTTAAATGTTTGAGGGAACTCCACTCTGTTTTCCACAGTGGCTGCCCCAGTCTGCTTTCCCACCAACAGTGCACAACGGTTGTCTCACCAGCACTTGTTGTTTGTTGATTTATTGATGATGGCCATTCTGACAGGTGTGAAGTGGTATCTCATTGTGGTTTTAATTTGCCTTTCTCTAATGATTAGTTATGTTGAGCATCTTTTTATATGCCTATGGGCCCTCTGTATGTCCTCTTTGTAAGTGTCTATTTGGGTCCTCTGCCCACTTTTTAGTTGAATTTTTTTTTTTTGGTGTTGAGTTTTATAAGTTCTTTATAAATTTTGGACATTAACCCCTAGAGGATATGTCATTAGCAGGTATCTTTTCCCATTCAGTGAGTTGTGTTCTCCCTTAATTGATGGTTTCCTTTGCTGTGCAAACCTTTTCAGTTTGATGTAGTCCCATTTATTTTTTTGTTTGCTTCTCATGTCTGATGAGATAGAGTCAGAAAAATATTGCTAATAAAAATGGCAGACATTGGATTGCCTGTGTTTTCCTCTAGTTTTCTAGTTTTGAGTCTTACATTTAAGCCTCTAGTTTGAGTTTATTCTTGTACTTGGTGTAAGAAGGTGGTCTCATTTTATTCTTTTACATGTATCTGACCGATTTCCCAGGAGCTGATGGTATTTTCCAACTGCATTTAAATAATGCAAGAAGCCCTAGTTGGTGTAGCACAGTGCAATAGGTGCTGGCCTGTGCACCAAAGGGTCACTGGTTGGATGGATTCCTAGTCAGGGCACATGCCTGGGTTATTGGCCAGCCCCCCAGTACGGGGTGCGTGAGAGGCAACCACACATTGATGTTTCTCTCCCCCTCTTTCTGCTTCCCTTCCTCTCTCTCTAAAAATAATTAAAACCTTTTTTAAAATAATACAAGAAACTTCATTTCCCCCCCCCCTCTCTCTTTTTAATGGTTCTTGT